GGTCTACATTTTCATTATATTTTGCCACCGAAAAGGCATAAAATAAACATGTTGCATGTTAGTCCCATTCTTGTAGTGTATGTAGTTGATGAAGCCTATAGGCCGATCAACCACTGAACTACCAGGAACCCTGTGCCTCGCTATGCCATTACAAAACAATCCACTAATGCTGATTATATTCCATTAAATTTCACTTAAAATAAAAGCTTAATACAGTTACACTACGGTTTATGATTGTAGTATAGGCCAATGAACCAAGGTTGTTCTTCTTTTTTTAGGTGCTGTTTTTCGATAAATTTAGTGTGTGCAAAATTCCAAGAAAAGGGTGTCGGTCCCATGGTCGGTCCATGATTGCAAGTTAATTTTGGATAGTTCACATGCCTCACTTTACACACTGCATGCATTGGAGTGGTCCAAGCTAAGTCAAGTGATTTCCTCACTAATAACTCCATGATGGGACTAAAGAAGTTGAATCTGGCAGATTGACAAGAAACTGGTATCCTTGTTTTTCATTTTAAAAGTAAAAACAACAATATTTCAATTATAAATGTAAATCAAGTCAATCAAACAATGTCCTTGAAATAAAAGAAATTTGTGAATTAAATCCCTCCATAGTAAATGTACCAGTACCTATATATAAATTCTTGGAACTTAACTCATTATTTTTAATTGATCTAGGAAATATTTTATACCTGTAAGTACTATTGATAATAGTGATCTAGTAAACCTAGATATGTGCAACAATAATTTATGAAATATATTATAAGAGCTTGCCGGTGTATTCAAGTATTTCCCATGTCCACTAGAGAAGTCTATCCACCTTTTCAATTTAATCAAGTTGTATTTTTACAATACTGTAATATTTTTCAAATTTATCAAGTTGTATTGGTGAGACTACTATTTTCGAACTTGATCGAAGTCATGTATATCAAGATTAGGATTATTGATTGTAAAAAAATGAATATGGAATCCCTTTAAATTCCTTGGATTCCATTTAATCAAGTATGTTTACTTTGATAATGTCAGCTGTTTGTCACTGGAAGCTATGAAAATGAGTTATCTTTTATTTACCAGCATTTCAGTCAGTTGTATGAGAGAAAGTTATTATATATTATATATAATAAAGAAACTTTTCTTTGATGAGCTATGCTTCATTTGATTATTACAAGTTCCTATTATTTATCTCTTTGTTTATATTATCAATCAAAGAAAGGTATAGGTTGTTAGAATAAAGGACATGATGGTACATGGTGGAGCATAGTTCTCAGTGAATGTTGTCCTGTAAATAAATATATTGTGTAATAAAATTCCTCCGACAGGATTCGAACCTGCAACCTCTCACTGTCAAGGTGAGCGTCATAACCATTAGACCACAGAGGTATCATGGTTGAACGAATTGAAATAACCGTCAGCTACATTGCATTACACAATGATGGTGCACCTCGAGAGGGTGTTAAATACGGCTGGAAATAAATAGTAACATATAATAATTAAGATAGCTGTTAACA